TATACATTATGATGTATCAAACCTTGTGCCTTCTTATCTGTATCTGTCAATCTGTCAGTAAAATCGCAGTCTTAGAAAAGCTATAGTCAAATGTATTTTGAGAATGTTATATAATTATGCAGATTTCAGGGCCAGTAGCTGCAAAACTTTCCAGTTCGTGTTGCACTGTTATTGATAATGCTACAGTACAATAATGAACTCCCTGCGCACATCATTCATTATCTTTACAATTTCTTTAACTCTTTAAAAGCTTTATATTTGTTATGATGATTTATTTTGTGATTGAATACTGCTAACACTTTACGAGTCTTGATTTTTCCACCATTATTCTGTGACCAGAATTCATTGATAACCTGCAAACAGCAAAATAAAAAGAAGATTATTTTATTTGTTTACTTTTTAAATGTAATTCCTGTACATATATGCTGAAGACTTTAGTTTTTCTTGTTGTTTGACAAGACAGATCCTGAAGATACTTTGTTACTTTTAAATTGTTCGAGGTATTCTATTCTGAACTGTGACAAAAGTTGGCTTTGGCATTCTAAGGTTTAGTCAAAACCATTATTTGATAACTATTTTTTTTTTGCTAAAAACGAAATACAGGTTTCTAACATGTTTTTGAGAAGTAACATCGTTTGAAAAGCCACAACCTAATATGTTTATGACATTGTAACTACTGATTTTGTGAAAGGTGCCCAAAGACGACTTTCGCATTCAACTGACTAGGTTCGAACTGGAAGTTTCTGATTTCTAGCAAACCTAGTTTCTCACTAGACTTTTTCTGATTTCTAACCAACCCCCAGTTTCGCACAGGCCCTTTGTGATTTTTAAGCAGTCACAGTTTTATATTAGACGTTTTCTGATTTCGAACCAACCCCAGTTTCATACAAGACGTTTTCTGAAGTTCTAACCAGTATTTGGTTTGAGTTTGTATCATTGTGAATCATTGCTGTGAGATATATTAAAATTATTTCTGTCATAGAAATTTGTCTTGTTACCTTATTCTAATAACATTTTTTTTATTTGTTCATTATATCTTCAGTTTGTTGCTATGGAATTGTAAACAAAAAACCTGTGAAAATTATTTGCGTAAAAAACTCTAAATATCTGCAGTATGCATTATATATTTATATGCTGTGTATTTCCTAAATATATTCAAGCTATATTATAAATCTATACTAAGTACCGTCTATCACATACGTATTTGCTCTATTCCAGGCGCATTATCAACATGCCTAAATAGCAATTTGTGGAAATACTGTTATTAGTTGGGTCACACTGTTCTGTTACATGCACAGTAAACTTTTTAGCATGTACACATACAAAGCCAGATTTAGTCCTGATGGGCGGGCTGGTACTTATGCCACAGAGTTGCAGGAGTCTATGTCACATGATAGTGATAATGAAAGTCTGATAGCGAAACTCCCCGAAAAGAAAACTCAGCCATCAACATCAAATACCACCATTAAAGGCAGTTACTGGCAAGCAGATGGACATCCCTGAAACTGGCGAGGCTAATATGGAGGTATTTATCTTGAGACGGAGTTGTTAATAATAATATATTGTATGCCAGACATAACTTGCAGCTCGCATTTATTGATAAAATAGATTGTGTCTGGAGGAACACCTCGCCATAGGGATAGAATTCCTTGGGATAATATAACTTTATGGTAGTGAACAGACCAGGGAAGATATGTGATTTACAGGGTAAATATTGTGAGTTCGAAATGATATTCATTATTTTAATGTAAGAATCGTTGGAAACTTATAAAGAACTCTCCTTTGCAGCGAGTATTGAAGTACATAAATCAGAAATAGAGCATATTTAAAATTTACACAAAATTAGCCTAAATGAGCGTTCTTATCCACCTTTTAAATTGCCAAATCAGGTAATTATTATACACAGATTGTAAAAAGAAACTAACTAGTTCTGCGCAAAGTCCCAGACAATCTATGTAGTATCAAGTTTTAATGATATGTGTTAAGTAGTTCATAAGAAACAAAAATAAACGATTACAATTGGTTAAATAATATGCAAATTAGATCGCATTTCAACTAAAATATTACCAGGTTTCTGCATTATCTCAGAGCAAATAAGTAACAAGTGTCATTGAAATATGTTGAATGGTACTCGAGGAACAAAAACAATTGTTTGGGCCATTGTTTATGCTAACTGAAAAGCGATAAACAAGTCTAGTTCAGACAGTCCTGATGTTGATTACAAAATACAAATCACATACAAACTTACACAAAATGTTGTATTGCTTATGTTTTTTGTGAAATGACTTAGGTATCTTATTCAAGAATTGCACTGTGAATGGACAATCTCAGGTGGGTCTACTACTGAGAACGGAACATCATGTGTCACCACGCATGCACAACCATTATATTTGGCATCCTCTATCATCGTTACCACGTGATCACCTATCACATACGGTCTGCAAAATAACACAATAATATATCAAATGTATATATTATCATTATGACAGTTGATGATCATGATATACATGGCGCGAGTTGTTTATACTCTGATACACTGTTCAGAATGTATCCACCCCTAAAAACAATTATATAGACTTGAAAGAAAAATGAAATCTGATATCAGAAACAGTCATATTAATAAAAATAACTTTCATGATAAACGATTTTTCACTTCCCAGTTTGCTGGAAAGATTGAGATGATCAGTGTGAGATCAAATCAATCCCACTGAAATGGCTTTGAAAAAAGTTCTCCGATTTAATTATTTTTAAATAAAGGCAGAGACGCATTTGAAACATTTGAATACAAATAAATAAAACTTTAAAAAAGATGGCTTCAGAAATGGGCAATAACGATCATGTTTAATCAATATCATGGTCGAATGCAGAAGTTTTAGAAGTGTCATAATTTGTTTGCTTGTGTCGGCAGTACAGGCATCGCCACTTTAATAACAAAATGCCAACCCCTATATATGTGCTTTGTTGACCTAACCAAGGCATTTGACACAGTGTGGGGAGGAGGGTTTATTTTACAAGGTATACAGTTTGGGGAGCCTATATCATTAACAAACTGGAACAAAATGGTACTTTAAAGTCATTATTAAAGTCTAGATTATGAGAAAATGCATTTAAAATTCTGATGGTTCATAAAAAATACAAATATACAAGGTGCGTTGGGTAGGTAGATACCCCATCCAGTTAAATAGTATATTGGACTAGATTACAAAATGATAAAACCCCTGCCTTAACAAAACTACAAAATGAAACTGAACTCTGTGAGATGGGGCAAAAAACTTTCTTAACGTTTATAAAAGAATGGTCAAAAGTACTTCAGTGTAGTAAACCAGGAAAGCTAAAGATAATAAGCCAAAAAGAATAAAAAGAAAATCAAAACAAAATTACAAGTTATTTATATTAGAGAATGAATGACACAAAATATTAGTAATAAATTCAAAAGAATTCCAAATTTGAAAACTATCTAAAATTTATTATAAACTATAAAATTCGATCAGCAATAACAAAATTAAGCATATCAAATCACAGTTTACCAATAGAACAAGGACGCTACAAAAACATTCCACAAACTGAGCGAATATGCAAATTGAGTGATGCATCAGAAATTGGTGACGAAAAGCATTACATAATGTGTTCTAATGCTAAAATCGTTTTGTATAGAGTACATTTATTTGACAAAATTAGCTTTCTAGAGTTTGAAAAACTTAAAGCGGAAGGGTCGTTACCTGCGCACGCGCGAGAATTGAGTCCCTAGCGACGATAACAACATACGCTAAAAACGCAAACGGTTGTTTGTAAACAATGGCACGTTATGGGCATCTGATGCATGTGCAGGTGACGACTCCCCCGCTTTAAATTATTATTGTCGTTACCAAGTGCGTGAAAGTGAAGTTAAATATTTTGTTATCTGATTTATATCTTCTTTGCACTTGTATATTCAGCGGATGATAGGGAGTACGATTTGTAAATCTGAATTTACATTCACTGAGTTGAGTGTGATAAATCACAGTTGTTATTGTCATGCTACGGCGCGCATGCGTAATAAAGAAAGAAAGTGGTTCACATGACAGCCATCTTGCGTTCAGGTATCTTTCTTACTGCCGTAGTTTGGGTGCAATACATTGAGCAGGCTTGTAACTACTCTGAACACGCATCAAACTTGTTTACGCTGTTTAATAAGACATTTTGAGGTGAATTGGAAAAAAATAATCCCATGCACCAATGGCCTGAGATGAGTGACTTCTTTGTCTGTGGCTCGTGTGAGACAAATATTCTTCTGAGAAATAACCCTAGCCCCTTGAGGATGTTGGATTTTATTATTCTCACACCAGTAGCTACCATGTCGGCATGCTCATTCAAATCGTGCCAAAGCTGACCTGACCTGACTGAACACAGTCTCACGTGAAAGTCCACAATGAAAAACCGATGATTATTCACCTAATTTCTGATCAGGAATGGGTGCTCTTGTATTCTATTGAACGAGCGTAAAATACGAGCAAATCATCATTCCAAGAAAAGATTTTGTTCAAAAAATGAGGATTACTAAACCATACACATATAAATAGTTTTAACAAATTTGATTGAATATAGAGGGCGCTATGCTACTCGCCTGAAGCATTGTTTTCGAGACGCTTGTATTGTAGGACATATGTGAAAAGGGTGAAAAGACTATTATCCTCGGGGGCGGACATCCGGGCATTTTCTACCGCCTGGCAACCCTCGCGGTGAAAACAAAGACCAAAACTCGCAGAAAACGGTACTTTGCGATGGTTGTTGAGAGTTCCCTGAACAGTGTAACAATATTAGCCCTACGCGTGTAACATATATAAATTTGGTTGTTCAGAATTACTTCAAAGTTGAGTTTTTGTTGTTTTCTCGAGTTTTCACCGGCTCCACCGGCGTTCCACAGCAGCGCGCACAAAGCCCATAGAAATACGTGGTACAATGGTGCGCGTCTTAGCAACGTAGAACGTCCGTGACGTAGCTCCGCCCCCGAGGATTGAGAGAATTAGGTTCCGTAAAGTATCTGATTTTTGAGTTGTGGCTGTAACTTCATTATGATTTTAATAAATTGATGTGATAAAATTCAGGAAAATATAGTTTGTGTCATGTAATGAGATGCTAAATGTTTAGGGTCAAGGATTATATTAAGAATTGCTCATACCTGATAAACGTGACACATTGCATTGTAATTTCTGTCGGTGCATTGCATGGTATCACCTCTCCACAGGTGGTATTAATTTTCATAAAATATACACTACATATGCCATGCCACTACTTACTCTAAAGATGTCTCTGTTTTCATTAGTTCTTGCATTATTTCGTCGTATCTTGTTATTAGACTATTCCGAATTTGTGTGTTTACTGCACCAGGACAAATTGCTGCAACACGGATAGCGTTTTCAGACATCATTGGCTCAAACTATGCAAAACACAAATGTAAATAATATTTGGACAATTAGATAAACAAACGTATCCCCGTACAGTATGTTTTGTAGATTTAAGAGCACATCGCTTGACTGTAATTTGTCTATCGTTCCCTTTCCTTTCGTATACTCTGATTATTTACTTATTATATATTTATTTGTCGATTGTTGCAGATTTCCCCACAAATTACAATATACAATTGTAGTTTTTTTGAAAAAGCTTGTCGTAAAAAAAAAGTTTATATAGCAACTAAATGAAAGACACGTAGACACGTTATGGGTGAGATATAATACGAGATATAATGAGATACAATATGAGATACACAAGCATTACCATACTCGTAATTACCATATTGCCATTCATAATTTTTTTTCACATTGACATTAAAGAATTTAATTTTACATATTCTTGATGGGAATGACAATGGCAATAACCTCAAATAATGACCCAAGTGTGAATCATGAATTATGGAACAGCAAACATGAAAACGAAATCATCAAGGATTCATGAGGAGTACATGAAAATATCAACGACCCAGTATATCCCACCACAACGCCTATTTGGTTTGATCACTGACGGTTTAGAAAGGTGTCGCCTGTTAATTTAACTTAACATTTGAACATTATTATGTTTCTTTATCTCTACTTCCTCATTTTTTAATATCAATAAAACACTAAAATTAAATCATTGTTAAAATGTAAGACACTTTCTCGCAAAAGTTTACAAATGCCAAATTACAAATAAACACTGGTATATTTAGATTGACCTGTTACTTCTTACTTACGGGACTTTACTAAGAGTTAACTAACGGGTATAAATAAGAATGTATTAAACCGTATTGTTCAGTTTAACCATTAAGCGTCGCAATAAGCAGTTGGTTAACTACGTTATATCACGAATTTGTTTAAATGAGTTTCACTGTCTAGTTTCCATAGCCGATTTCACCAGTTTTTGGTCAATTTTCTACAAACCCCACCGTGTTTGATCGATAGGACGTTCTTTGTGGCGACGAACAATACGTCGATCACCAACTCAGAAAAAACGACCCCAGTGTTAGCGGCGCATCTGACTTATTGAACATATAAGCTTATTCCACAAGTCGTCTGATTAGGAGAAACCATGCATTTGAATAAAAATCGGCTTTTTTCACCTAATTTTGGTAATTCATAGGCTGCAAAATAAGATTTAAAATCATAATTACACATCTTTTTCATGTATATCCATACATCCTCCCTCATATACGGCACCGTAACTCGAGGTTTGATGAGATTATTACAATAGTTTGGTATTTCGGAGCTTTTATAGTCAAGAAAGGAATTTATTTAATTAGATTTCAAATCACTTGGTTATGTTAGAAGGTGACATCCAAAGAAATTCAAGTTTATAGGCTAGAATGGCCCACTATGCACCCCTACACGCAACTCTCACAAACACTTATTTTTGGGCCAGCTTTTTGTGCTGAACAAAATAATGTTCACACTTTGGAATACTTTTGTTTTTATCAATATCTTATATAATGTGTCTTTTATCTAAAAGGTTATTCAACACACTAAATATAACGCCCAAATCCATATATGATATATCGAAGAATTCAGCTCATATTATTTATATCCCAGTGAGTATTCATATTCGCATTTTACCATTATTGAGTTATTAAATTTGAAATATTAGTCATATTTATGTACAGTTGCCCTCGTGTATGTTATCTTTATTTGCCTTGTGGTTGATATCACATTATGAAGTGACGTAAGTTAACAAATGTGAGAACACGTGTTTGTGAATCGTACTATGTTGAATAGAAATGGTACGAATATCCAGCGTATTTATAATGTCCCAAGAAATACATATTTTTTTTCATAGACTGTGTAGAAAGGGAATAAAATACACAGCAAACAACAACAAAAATCTGACTGTTTGGTATACCATTTCTCTAATTAATTTCATTTATAATTAGATCATTTTAAATTAAACAAAACAGCGACTATAAGCATTGCTGGCGCATTGAATGTTATCCATATACGTAAATGCCCAATAGGAATCCTATAGAACTGAGAATACTACTGCATTCATTTAGTATTTTTATACGAACACTACATGCCTAAGTTTAATTTGGTATCTATGATTTGCCTTACCGCCACACTTCTAGCAAATCCGACCAGACCACTCTTGGCGGCTGCATACACTGGAATAATAGAATTCGGTATCAAACCTGTCAAACAAACAAAAGAAAACTTTACTTTGTATACATATAAAATATAAAAGGCATTGAAACATTGCATTACTATATTCAAAACGTTTTAAGCAAAAAAAAGAACAGTTCTGTCGTCAAAATCACAACAAATAATTATTATTCATGTTCCTCAAATAATACTACATGTACTGTATTAATTTGCTTATAGTATAATATAACATAAATTACATTTCTGAAATAATAGTGCTACATAATATAAATATAAGTAAAATACCAAGCAGTGAGTTTTTTTAATTAATATTATATGTACTGTATTAATTTTTATTATTGAATAATATAACATGAAATGTATAAGTTCTAAAATAATAGTGCAGTAATTTTAATATGGCCAGATAAATATTGCAGCCATAAGAAGATGAAATTTAATCAATATTTTGAAAAATAAACACAGAACACTTTACGCTATAAAACTTGGTCGTCATCCAAAACTGACAAGTATGATATTCGAGATTGAAAACACTTGGGTAAAAACTGTTTCACGGCGGATTCAGCATCGACAACGACAGAATTTCTGCGCTCTTACATCATGTACTTCAGGTAAAAAGTAATGATGAAATACTAACCTAAAAGAGAAGAATTGATTATTATAACTCCACCATTTCCTCCATTCTTTGTCCCCATATATTCCACAGCAAGATATGTGTTTCTGATCGTAGAAGCCTGGAAGGCATAGATTTAAAATCATATAGTAATCCACAGTACATGAATATCATAGAATATATATGTTTAGTGCAATGTACAATATTATGATACCATAACATGCACAATGTAATATCTTATTCCGATGTACCATGTCATATCTTATGGCGATGTACAACGTCATATCTTATGGCGATATACAATGTCATATCTTATGGCGATGTACAATGTCATATTTTATGGCGATGTACCTTGTCATATCTTATGGCGATGTACAACGTCATATCTTATGGCGATATACAACGTCATATCTTATGGCGATGTACAATGTCATATTTTATGGCGATGTACCTTGTCATATCTTATGGCGATGTACAATGTCATATCTTATGGCGATGTACAACGTCATATTTTATGGCGATGTACAACGTCATATCTTATGGCGATATACAATGTCATATCTTATGGCGATGTACAATGTCATATTTTATGGCGATGTACCTTGTCATATCTTATGGCGATGTACAATGTCATATCTTATGGCGATGTACAACGTCATATTTTATGGCGATGTACAACGTCATATCTTATCGCGATATTCAATGTCATATTTTATGGCGATGTACAATGTCATATGTTATGGCGATATACCTTCAAGTTGTCACATCTTATGGCGATGTAACATGACGTATTTTATGGCGATGTACCATGTCATATGTTATGGCGATGTAACATAATACCTTTTATGGTGTTGCAACATGTCATGTATACGGTGATGTACTTTGTCATATTTTACGGCGATGTAACATGTCGAACTCTGTGAATATGTACTTTTATATGACAAAAACCTTTACAGTACAGACTAGCCACACTTCCTTTCGAGGAAACACAAGCATTGATATAAATATATTTTTAATAATTATGGTAATCTTCATAGTGTCGTCCTAAATACACACGGCTCGCCACGACAATGCAAGGTATATTGCAACACCTATCACAGTCGGACGCCAGTAAGAAGGAGAAACACCGCAAAAAACGCAAATAATATAATAAACATAACATAATGTACTATTTAGGATATCCCAAACACTTGTACTTATAAATACAGTATCCTATGTGTAAAAATAAATTAAGGATAAATAATCGAATACAACAAAATTAAGCGATAAACATGTCATATCTTACAGCGATGTACCTTTTCATATTTTATAGTGATGTACCTTGTATGACGATGTAACATGTCACGTCTTATGGCGATGTACCTTGTCATATCTTATTGTGATGTACCTTGTCATATCTTATGGCAAGGTACCTTGTCATACCTTATAGTGATGTACAATGTCATATCTTATGGTGATGTACCTTGTCATATCTTATGGCGATGTACCTTGTCATATCTTATGGTGATGTACCTTGTCATATCTTATGGCGATGTACCTTGTCATATCTTATTGTGATGTACCTTGTCATATCTTATGGCGATGTACTTTGTTATATCTTATGGTGATGTACCTTGTCATATCTTATGGTGATGTACCTTGTCATATTTTATGGTGATGTTCCTTGTCATATCTAATGGCGATGTATCTTGTCATATATTATGGCAAAGTACCTTGTCATATCTTATGGTGATGTACCTTGTCATATCTTATGGTGATGTACCTTGTCATATCTTATGGCGATGTACCATGTCATATCTTAT